CAAGCCTCCCCGAGGGCCCTGAGTGACGGGATCCCCACGCCCCAGAAGGTGCTCTTCCCAGCCCAGCGCCTCTCCATGAAGTGGGAGCGTGTCCACCGTGTGGGCGCCGGGCTGAGTAATCTGGGGAACACCTGCTTCCTAAACTCGGCGCTGCAGTGCCTGACCTACACGCCACCACTCACCAACTACCTGCTCTCCCGGGAGCACGGACGCACCTGTGAGTGGGGACTCCAGTTCGGGGGGCCGGGAGGGAGGAGCAGCGTCTGCCGGTCCCGCTCGCAGTGCTGTGCTCAGCACCCCTGCGCCTGGCTCTGGTGAGGGGGTGTGGGTGTCGGGTTGCACCTTCCCTGCTCCCTTCTGCCTGTTTCTCCATCAAGAGGCTGTTCCCGGGTCCAACTCACGTCCTGGTCATAGCAGTGTTCCCAAGCTCAGCATCTCTGTCTCTGGGGAGACTTTCTCTCTGCTGGGTGTAGCCAGGACTAAGATAGGCCCAATGGACCTGCTGGCTTCTCGGGGGCTGAGCTGAGGGGTCCCAAATAGCTCCTGCCTGTGGGGACTGCATGAGGGCAGTGTGGCAGGCCCTGCTCCAAGCTGTCACCATGGGGAACACAAAGGGCTTGCAGCCCCGTCTGTAGGACTCCGGTGGGATCTACCCCTCAGAGCCGACCTGTGGGCTCATCCAGTGAGTACCTGGGACCTGTTTTCCATCCATGTGGATGCTGTCTCGCCAGGGGGGCTGCCATGGCTGGTCCTGTGATGGGCTCTCCCAGTCAGTGTGGCGTGTGCTGGTTCTCATGTCCCTGGGATGCCCCAGAGCTGTCCTGGAGCACAGAGCTCGTAGGGAAAACTGAGCATGGCTGTGCTGTGTTGGATCAGCGATCTCCTGTGCTGCCTCCGTCTCTCCCGGGTTTGCCCCCAACATCCCATCATCTCTCCTGCTACAGGTGCCCACGGAAGCTTCTGCATGATGTGCACTATGCAGAACCACACGATCCAGGCTTTTGCCAACAGCGGCAATGCGATAAAGCCACTGTCCATCATCCGAGACCTCAAGAGTAAGGATGGCTGCCCTTCCCCCCATGACTAATGTGGAAGCAGAACTGTTGGGATTGGGGCACATTTTGCCAGATGGCTCCACTGAGACAACTCAGAGCCTGCCAGGGGGCTGCCTGGGACTTGTCCTGTGGCTGGCATAAGTCTGATGTCTGGTTTTGGTTGAGGGGGCCTGACCCGCAGAGTTCCTGCCCCAGGAGAGGCAGGGATGGCCAGCATCTGTTGCAGCACGTGCTAATTCCTCCCTCTCTTGCAGAGATTTCCCATAATTTGCGCTTTGGCAGGCAGGAGGATGCACATGAGTTCCTGCGTTATACCATTGATGCCATGCAGAAGGCCTGCCTGAATGGCTACACCAAGTATGTGGGGCCTGATGGCTCTTTGCTGTCCCCTCACTGGTCCCCCGTGCTCATGGGAGGGGACTGTGGGGTGAACGTGTCCCCCGTGTTGGCCTTATTGTGGGGAGGTCATGACTTCAGGGGCTCTGTGTGTGGGGTCTAGCTCCCTGCCCCTCAGGGGTGTGGCTCTGGGTTGTTGTTTGTCTTCTCCTGACTCCTTCACCCCGGCACAGCTGCAGTCCTGTCCCAAAATCCTGAGACTGCTATGGGATGGGATCCCATCCCAATTGCCAGGGGATCCAGGCATGCTTGCTAGTTCAGCCCTAGTTCTGTGGCTGTGGGAGTGCAGCTTCCCCGAGGCCCTCTATCCCAGGAAGCACTGCCTTTGCCTTCAGCACCCAGCTGTGAGCTTCAGCCAGGAGCCTCTGCTCCTTTGAGAGGAGGGCGCATATTGGAGCCTGGTGCCATCCCTTGGCTGTGACACAGGGAGAGCAGGCTGGCAGGGGCTGTGATTTCCTGTTGCTCCTAGAGCTCCACAGCCCAGCCACTGCCCAGAGTATGGAGTGGGGCTGTCCTGATGACACAGAGGTCCCGCAGGGGTGGCTGTTGCAGAAGGGTGGTGTGAGATCTAGTGCCACTGTCTCTGTGTAGGTTGGATCGCCAGACCCAGGCCACGACCCTGGTTCACCAGATCTTTGGCGGTTACCTGCGGTCCCGTGGTGAGTGCCAGCTGCCAGGGCCAGGGTTTGGGCAGTAGAACTCTTTGGGAAAATGACTAAGCATGTGTAACTTATCCAGAGCCACAGTCAGTCAGTCCTGCGGTACCTGAGGGTCGTGACCCCAGTTGTGGTGATAGGAAAAGCTGCTGGCTGTGTGCCACCAGCAAAGGGACCCATCTTCCCAGCTATCCAGTGACACTTGCTGTCCTAGCACAAAGTGGAATCACCAGCCTTTCTCCCTCCCAGGCTGTGAATCCTGGCGTTCACATCCCAGAGCCTAAATCCAGACTGGGGGGACACTGCAGCTGCCCGTGCTGTGCTGTGGGGGTGGCAGGTGCAGATATTGTGTTGGGGTGTGCTCATGGCTCTTCCTTTTGCAGTGAAATGCTTGGAGTGCAAGACTGTCTCGGACACCTATGACCCTTACCTGGATGTGACACTGGAGATCGAGGTAGTGAGGCAGGGTTAGGGATGGGGGGCTCTGTCCTTGGGAGGATGTTCCTGCTCTGAGGCTCCTTAACCTGCTAGCGTGCAGGAATGGTGCTGGCAGGAGGGAAGCAGCTCCCACTGTTCCGCTGCCTTCTCAGTCTGGCAGAGCAGTGCCCATTGCCTGAGCGTGAGCCACGACTCCTTCGCGGAGGCTTGGTGGGTGTTGGGGTGCAGAGCAGCCACCCCCGTGGTGTGCTGGGGGCAGGCTCATGGCTTTGGGGCAGCCCATGGCCCTGTGCCGTGTGCTCTCTCCTGGACCCAGTGCCACAGCACAGAGCACAGCTGTGGCCTGAACAGGCCCCTCGTGCCCTGACTTCCACTTTGTCCTCGCAGCGAGCCGCAAACGTCGTGCGGGCGCTGGAGCTGTTCGTGAAGCCGGAGCAGCTGGGGGGGGACAACGCCTACAGGTGTAGCATGTGAGTGTGGGGGGCTGCAGGCAGGATGGGGCCCACGGGTGTGATGGTGGGAAGGCTGCCACGATATGGGAGGGCTTCTGTACCTGCTAAACTGTGAGGTACAGGGCCACGAAAGCCTGTGATGAATCCTGCCACTCCTCAGCTCCCTCCTCACATGAGGAGGACCTGGGCCAGCAGACATGGCCACAGGCAGGTGCCTGGAGCAGTGCCTGGTGTCAGTGTGGTCATTCCTATGGGGTTTGCCATTCCCATGGCCAGGGCAGGCAGTTATCTGGGTGGTGGAACAGCTTGAATAGCTTGAGCTTTTCCTGGGCAGGTGCAGGAAGAAAGTGTTGGCCAGCAAACGTTTCACCATCCACCGAGCCTCCAATGTTCTCACTATCTCACTGAAGCGCTTTGGCAGCTGTGGCTCTTCAGGT